AGCTTTCTACCAGAACACCATCACCGCCGAATCGCAAACAGAAAGCCAAATCCGCTCCAAAGGCGCCTGCCAAGCGTCGTCGCCGACGTGACCAATCCCGATCCCGCTCCTCGAGCCCACTGTCACTCTGGACTTCCGAAGACAAACAGAAACTACGCACCTTGAAGGCTGACGAGAAGTCTCGATTTTCATGGAAGGTGATCTCGACCAAGATGGGCAAGTCCGAGGAAGATGTTCGCTCTATGTGGAATAAGATCAAAGACAAACTTGGCTGATCAACGACATATGCGAACCAAAAGAAAAAGGTAGTTTGCGGCACTGTATTACTGCTTCACCCACCAGTTGGCCGTTCTTTTGAGAATTTTGTTCCTTTTGTTGATCTTCACAACCACGGGCGTTGTTGCCCCATTGTATTTTGACATGTCGTATCATACAACCCGCCAGCCATTTATTATGTCTCTCCGCATTCACCTGGACCGCTATTGCCAACTGCGAGCTATGTCCCACGAGAGGATCTCACCTACACGACGCTCACGCTCTCCAACAAGGACATCGTCTTCCGCTGTGGGCTCTTCGTCACTTCAGCACCCACCCAACCGGACTTCGCCTACGACACCCCACCGACCGGTTATTTTCCAATTGGACCTGAAGCCGATGCAGCAACTTGCCGTCCGCAACCCTTATTACAACATCTTGACCCCCAAGGTCGCGGGCAACCTCCCTACGGCCACCTATGATAGCCTGTTCCAGACGTTCAAGGTGATCTACCCGGACTATGCTCGCAGTCATTTCGTTTCAGACCTCAAAACTGTGGTCACCGACACGCTGCTACAACGATGGTCGATACACCTACCAGCGTCAGATTTCTACATGATGATTGACACCGATCAAGGAGCTCAGATGCTTGACGACCTCCCTCATTCTCTTCTGGATGTTTTGAACTGGTTCTACCCGAGATGGAAAACTCATCAACATCTCGATGCCTTCACGACTCGTGAGTGTTCACCTTTGCTGCTGACACCCCATCCAGATGCACAAGACACAGGCTTCGCTGTACATGTTCAAGTGATTCCCCGTGGGCATCCATTCGTCACGGCCACCAGATACACTAAAGCGGCCGAGTGAGTAGCCCCCGTGATAGATCTTGGCGGGGCTCACGTCTATGAGGAAAAAGAAAAGACATTCGTTATGATGTCCGCCACCCCGGTTCTGAGTTTCCTTTGTCTCATCCACTTCTCTTTTTCCATTTGGTGATGTTCGTTATTTATTTCTTCTTCATTGACCTTCCCCACGGCCTTTTGGCTTCAGTTCAGTTTATCTCGAGATCATAATTTTGCTATTGTACATGATGACCTCCAACACGGATGATACTGCTCACACCGCTCCCCACCTACATCCGTACATGGCCTTGTCCCACATATGCAACCTGATGATCCTACTTCGGCATCCTATATTCCCCGTGCAGCGCGAACGATTCCGACCTCTACCACTGTCCATTCCGTCTTCATCAAGAAGCTGAGCTATCCTTTGTCTAACCATCCAGATGAACTTTGGATCGTGGAAAGGACACTTGATGGTATTGAAACGTGGAAACCAGTGGAAACATTTCTGGAGAACATGCACCTCACCAATGATCAGGTGACCCTACGTACCACAGCTAATCATTGGCGCCGATACTATGACGTACCAATTCAATCATCATCCTCCTCCCCTACGGCAACTACCGTTCCTGTTCTACCACACCCTGAACACTCCAACGTCTATGTCTCCCAGCCGTACGAAGCGATACCGGACCACCTCCATATTTTGCAGTCATGCTGGGGACGCTCTGCCCAACACCACTCTCAAGGAACCACCACCTCTTTATATTGGCCACCTTGGCGGTCTACACCACCTTCTTCCCCACCGGCAACACTACAACGTACGGTACATCTCACTCGCCCCGCCGTCCCTCCTCAACAAGTACATGGTCCACTGGATGCGAACGATATGGACCCTATGGATATGTCGGACTCCAGTGTGTAATATACCACATCATTTGTCGGCGGAAAAAGAACAGTGATTTACCGTCTTTTTGTGACCACTTACTAGGTACACCGTTTCTCTTCAATTTCCAACACTTTGAGCTTTACTCTTTGGTCATTATCAACCTATTTTGCAGCTTGGGCTTTCCGCTTTATCCTCGACACTCGATATTCGACGCCGTGGCTCATTCTTCTCGGCCCCATCCATATCGCGCTACATCCACGAGTGAGACACCGCTGGGTACACGAACCTTTGGATGGTTTGCTGGACCTCGAGGCCTTCCTGGTGATGTGAACCCTCCTCCAAACCGACCTGTTCTTATCTTGGTTGACTTCTCTCCCCTACAGGCATTGACTCACCGCAGCGAACCTGACCGTGAACACTACATGGCTATGGCCAGCTCCAGTTTCAGAAATGTTAGTGGCTACGAACTTGAGGCTCTGTTTACCTGGTCGCGTCAGATGGAACCAGTTGAAGCCGGCCTCATCCCAACTGGCGAACTACGATTCTGTATCTCAAAAAGATTGAGGTCCCAATGGGACATCCAACTTGATCCCTCGAATTTGGAGTTTCGCTTTTGCGACCTGGACGGTGATACATTCCAAGTCTCCAATGATATGACGATCTTGCAGCTTTTGGAGGAATACCGACCTGAATGGCGACTTCGGAAGTACAACTCCCGCGAATCCTCTTTGCTCATCCCGGGTACCACACAGCCTTTCGTACTACGCCTGCAATGCTACAAAATTAGCTCCGGTGTGATCTTGCCCTGATACGCTAGCCGGCCAAAAAGACCATGCTGCAGGGTTTTCTATTCTCTCTTGACACCTCACCAACACAAAGGATTCTTTGATTTCTACCTTTTTTGACTTTGAGCTTTGGCTTCTACGTCGCAATTGAACCACTTGATTGAGGACTGGACTTCACTTCTATTATCATTATTATTAGGTTTCTCATGTTCGGGCTGGACTTATTTATGAAAATTTTGATGCCTCAGCCTTTGTTGCACCATTTCTCGCATTTCTGATCGTCTCACCCATGGAGCACAAACGAGACGCGACCGTGGCGGGCTTGGCGTGGCCTTCGAACCCTACCCGTGGACCCGCTCCTACCAACCCAGTTCCTGTACCAGACACCCAGGCTGCTGCACTTTGTCATTCTGGCGCTTCTGACCCTCCTACCAACACCACTTCGGCACCTTTGGCGACCGACAGTACAGCTCCTGACCTTGGAACTACGGTCCATTCTGATACATATTCGGGCCCTGCACCTCCTGATGTCCCGTTTCCGACGGAGCCAAGCTCTACACACAACTACCTCCATCGTGCTCACTTCTCTTCCCGCGTGGTTCACCAGATCCAATTCAAGATCTTTACCCACTCCAACAACACCAGGGAGCTATTCATTGAAGAGATCCCCTTGTCAGGGCTTTCCAGATGTCGTGATCCTGAACACTACTTTTATGGTCTTTCGGGCAATTGGGAATGGTCCCTGCGCACAGCGGACTATTGGCGACATCATTTTGAAATTCCTCTAGTACATGGACATCACCCTTTTCACAACGTTCCCATTGAGACCACTGCACCTACGGAGGCAACCCGCTTTACTCCGATGATCCAGGACTTGGCCCAACAACTTTCAATCACTTTGAGGGCTGCTATGGCATCTGGGGAAACCAACGACACGTGGAGAGCGCTTGAGGACATGAGCTTCCGTGACGCGATCGAAACACTTCAAGCTGGGACGAGCCTACCTTCTGAGTGACTGCATACAGTTGTGTACATTAGCTCCGGATAAGCTTTATGTGTCTAATTTTGTCGACATTTGCTGCGATGGTCTTCCAAAAATCAAACCCCGCTACAAGCGGGGTGTGTGTGTGTGTAACATCTGAACAGATGTAAAACTTCCTTGACTCTTACCGTTTTACAGTTGCAGGAAACCTGTTTATATTTGCAGGGGGCGACAGGGTCGCTGCATGGCTGTCGCCAACGAAGCTCCATGCAGTTGACTAGGATATGGAGTCTGATCAACTCCACGTACCTGCTTTTTCCGACATAGCAAGGGGCCAAGCTCAGAACCCCAACCACCATGATTTTATTCTTCCACGGTTGCCACAATCTGTAGTTTATGCATCAGAACCTTCCTCAGATTCTCGCCGAAACCATTTCGCCGACAGTGTTTTTGAATTTTTGATATATTTTCGCCGAGATCATGTCGCCGATGAACTTTGGGTCATTTTGGGAAACAATCGCCGAAACATTATTTTGGATTTTCAACATGCTGGTCAAAACTCTATGGACTCTGGTTATGACTACGTTTGACAATATTGGATGCCCTACATCGTTTTCGAGAAGTACCTCATGTGGCTCCTTTATTAATCTAACGATCTAGGCTGGTTTGCATGTTTCAGGATTCAGTTCCTGCCGGATCATATAATGATCCATTCTTGTCTAGTGTGTGTGTGCAAGTTGACATGAACGTCATTGCCCCACCCCACCCCACCCAACCCCACCCCAAGATAACCATAACGTAGCATGACGTCTGTGTGCTAGTTGACATGAAAGACCATCAAAAAACAAAAACATGCCAAAAAATTCTTAAAACACCACGGCCGTCTATGGGTCGGGCTCCAACTACAAATGGGCCATTTTCCATGGCTATGTGAAAAATTACCAGAGGGTACTGTAATTCCTGTGTTTCATGGAGTTTCCCATTGACGGACCATCCTTTATTGATAGTCAAGGCTCAACCAGGCTTTCCACTTGACACTGTACAACAGATAATGCATTCTAGAAAAAGCAAGTTGGTTTTAAGAATAAATCGTTCCACAACATTAGAATGCATGATTGCATGATTCTACAAAATAGTTGTTTAAAATCAACTTATAATGTTGTACACACATAAATAAGTTGATTTTTAACAACTGTTCACGGGCTTTTTCAGCAACACCAACCATTAAGGCATCCATTCAAGACATGAGGTGTGCGCTTCCAGCAGCACTTGCTGGACACCAGACTGGACCAGATGAGGATCAGGTGGGGCAGATCGGAAAACCTTCGATCGCCCGCAACACATGGGGATGGGTGAACACCTACAACTACCATTTGGAATGGAGGGGATGAACAATGATGAACACATCCCAGTTATTTGGTTGTGAACAGAAGGATAAGGGGCTTTTGACCCCATACGCCAATGTTTTTTGGCCGAGTGTCCTGAGGTGTTCACATGAAGCGAAGTTGGTGATGGCATGGCTTAGGCCCTAAGGCCACCATGTCTGAAGACGGTCATCGGGACGTATGCCATACCCGATGATCTGCCGGCAGGTAGAAGAACGAATGTTGGGGTGACCCAGGATGGAGATTTTTGTGGCAACACCCGGGTCATTCTTCTTGGTCCATGGATTTTGCACCAAAATGATTCCGAAAGAGATTTTATATGTGGTTGCTGGTCATTGGTTTTCAGTATGCAACACAAAAAATGCTGTTGATGATCACACCTGAAGGGGAAGATTGCGTTAAAGTGACGGCCACATTGCGGTATGGGGGAACTCCCACTGTTTTGGACCATCCTAAGAAAGGTATGGGCAGCATCATCGGAACTGCACTTGAGGCAGCTGAAAAGGAGTTAGATCCCCTGATGTTCCACTGTCCATGTCTGTTGCCCAACAAATCCTAGGAGTATACCGTATACCAATGACTGTTTGGCTAAGATCCTCCATTAGGGTTGGATATACCTCCAGTTAACCCATATTTATCCTTATTCCAAATGAGTTGGTTTGTCATCTCGCCATTTTTCTTGACAGATCTCGTTGGTGATCTCCGGGTGTTGATGCTATCTCCATGTGCACAGGTTGGAACGCATTTCCGATTTGCTTTGCAAGCCTGGAGTGTGACCGCTGGGCCATGGGGCGAGGTTGGGTTTTTCAGACACCCTGACAGGAATAAGGTGGCAGAGTGGGTTCAGCCAACCTTTTTTTTGATGTTTCCATGATTCGCAAGATCTCAACGGACCAATGAAATGCCTTCACTCCTACGTTTGGAAGAATGTCGGCTTCCTGCAGGAGCAATTTTCAAGTGAGCTCCTCGTTTTTTTTTATCTAAACTAGCAATGCAGAGTCGCCGATATCGCCGATTTGTAGATGGTTTCAGATTCACACAAGGTGGTGCCCCCCAGTTATAAGTTGGTTTACAATCCCATTAACTATAGATATATCACCTATAAACCATAGTTATTGGAGTTATAAACCAACTTAGCTATCTAGGGGGCACCACCTTGCACCTGAACTCTTTCCGTTGCTCTGGTACATCACTGACCAGAAAAACATTGACGGACCAACCCACCCAGCAACGTCTTTCGGCAGGTACAAATTGCCCACCGATGGCCGCGTGTTTCGTTCCAAGGAGCAGCGGAGCAGCGGAGCAGCCTGTTGGTTTTGTATACCTTCCACGATTTTCCCATATTTTCCCATTAAAACCTCCATGTCTAATCATTTGTGCAGGACTCCCCAGCTAGCCATGTTTGATTCCCAGAAGGCAAACCATGTCGTAAACCACGTCAAACCCACACACAAACACACAAACCACTGTGGTTCAATATTTTTTTGCCCAGTGGAGAACCTTCCAAATTTCCACCCTGGCTTTCTCAATTCTGGCCCAAGAATCTGTAGGTGGGCAACGGTGTCAGGCCCTGCCAACAGAGCCACTACCGATGTGCTCTGTGTACTCAGCAGTACAGTATCAGGTGAGCCACTTGCCGTTCTGGAAACCTATGAAGGCATCAGTGCAAAAGAGATGAAGCAGTCCCTGCAAAGTCAGATCGGAGTGCCACGATTTCGGCAAAAGCTCTTTTTGGAAGATAGGACCCAAGAAATTCAAGATGACGAGGTTTTTGCCCTACAACCAGTCAAGATGAAGCTGGTGCTCTCAGAATTCTGGCCGCCTGACTTTGAGGAAGACCGGCGAATGATGGCTGCCTGTAGAATGATTCAACAGGGCTTGAGAAGTTGCTTAAGTGCCCTCGTAATCCCAACTTCGATGTGAACGGTCACATGCCACTGCATCAGGCGGCTGCAGCTGGACACCTCGAGCCTACGCTGCTTTTGCTTGAAGCAGGTGCCTTAAAAGACGCCCGGAACAACGAATCTCAGGGGGCTACGCCACTGTTCATAGCAGCAGGGAAAGGCCATGCAGAAGTTGTTGGCTTGCTGATTGAGAAGGGTGCTGACAAAAGCAAGGCCAGAACAGGTGATGGAGCAACACCGTTACACATGGCCGCTCGGAGGGGCCGCCTACAAGTTGTTCATTTGCTGGTCAAGGCCGGGGTTGAGATTGACAAAGCCACAACTGTCACAACTGACACAGGAGCAACTCCCTTGCACATCGCAGTTGAGAATGCACATCTGGAAGTGATTGATTCTCTGAGCACGGCTGGTGCTGGCGAAAACAAGGGGATGACCGTTAATGGTGCAACACCGCTGCACATTGCAGCACGCCAGGGCCATTTGCAAGTTATCCATTTGCTTGTCAAGCTTGGAGTTGAGATCGACAGAGCCACAACTGACCAAGGAGCAACTCCCTTGCATATCGCTGCTCAGGAACATCTTGAAGCTGTTCGATTGCTCAAGGCTGGTAATGGAAACATGAGCAGAACAGACACTGGAGAAACATCCTTTCACCTCGCAGCTCTGGCCATTTGGGATTGGTTAATTTGCTGGTGGAGGCTGGTGCAATTCCGTTGTACATCGTTGCTCAGAATGGCCATGCCGTTGTTCGTCTGCTTCTTGAGGCTGGTGCAGAAACAAGGCCAGAACCCGCGACGGGGCAACACCGGTGTATCTCGCTTGTCTTGTTGGGCATTTGCATGTTGCTCACTTGTCAAGGCTAGGGCTGATATTGATCAAGCCACAATTGAGACTGGGGCAACACCCTTGTACGTTGCAGCTCAGGAATGCCGCACCAAGATTGCTTGCTTGTTGAGGCTGGTGTTGACAGAAATAAGGCCAGAGCCATCGATGGGGCAACACCGTTGTACGTGGCGGCTCAGAGGGGCCATTTGCAAATTGTTGAGTTGCTGGTCAAGGCTGGGGTTGACATCGACAAAGCCACGTCTGAGACCGGGACAACACCGCTGCATATCGCCACTAAGCGATGTCATATCGAAGTAGTTCGTTTGCTGATTGATAGTGGTGCTGACATATACAGGGCCAGAACCGTCGATGCGGCAACACCACTGCAAATCGCGGCTCAGAATCAACGTAACATTTGAGTAATGCACAGAATATCATAAACCTTAATCAACTAGACATCTATCATCATCTATCATCATCTATCATCATCTATCATCATCTATCATCATGTATCATCATCTATCATTATTTATAATCAACTAAACATCTTCATCTATTTGAAAATGGCGTAACACCTCACAAACTGCGAATTTGGTCGACTACCACAGCTGTGCTTGTGTTGCTGTGCTTGGGCCGGTTGCGTGAAAAGTGGTGAATCAATTTGTGAAGTCGTGCAGGGCAGGTCCTGTTTCAAATCTTGTTTGGCTTGCAGTTTCAGATATTTGTGATATTTGTTTTTTCAAATATTTTTAAAAGAATACTTTACATACCATACCATTGGGATGATTGGGGCGCACATTCCAAGAAAGGTGCATGTTTCTCAGCCTGAGTGGCTCAAAACACCAATCAGTTGCGTAGGCAGCACTTTTCGACTTGAATGACGGACAACAATAGTTTTTTAACCTCTGGCCGAGCAGTTACAGAAAATGACCACATGCGTGGATTCGAGGGTGTTTCAACAAAAGCAAAGTTAGGCTGGCACTGCAAAACATTTTGCGGATGCCTATGTTACAACCCACGGGCCGAGCCTTTTGAAAAGGGGCAGCTGTAGCGCAGATCAACAAGACCTGGAAGACAATGGCTATTTGAAAAAACCCACTTGTTGCAAGCAAGGACGACTTCTGGTGGGAGCAGATGAGGTGCCAATCCCAGTTGGCGGATGACCCGGAATATCTTTGGGCAGTAGATCCCGATTTTGGTTCAGACTGCCCATGTTGCTATTTGTTGCTCCTGATTTTGCTGGTTTGCCTAGCTAAAGGTTCTAAGTCAATCTGACGATTTGTTACACCAATCTTTGTGTTGGCTGCATTTTTTGTTGATTGATCAACATGTACTCGTCAATGTCCCCATCTTTGGGTCCTTCGTTGTTTTTGTTGCTCAAAAAAAAACTGTCCAGAATGGGGTATGCCCCATTTGTGGCTCTCATCTGGACATCGAACAGTCCATAGGTATAAGATGGTGTAAGATTGGCACGTAGAAAAGGACACATGGTTTTTATCTGCTTAGTATCCCGCATGTGTGGAACGTATGATAACTTGCTTAATAAGCTTTTTGGCTTTATGGCTCAGAACTAGTTTTTTTTTGAATCTCATCATCTCATCTCACATTCTCCCCATCCGTCCCCCATCCCACCCCATGTGCCTTCCTGTCGTTCCCAGGCAGCGGCACTTCCGCCTGCGTCGCAGGGCGAAAGAGCGTGGCTCTGCCGTGCCCACAGCGGAAGAAGAGGAGCCGTTGGAAGGTGCGAGGAGCCGTTGATCAACCATTTTATGGGGATGTAATGGAGGAATATGATTTGGGTGTGTATCAGGAACAGAATGATGAAGCGCCGGCTTTGGGGTACCCTATTTGGACATGTCATATACCCCAAAAACACGGAGTTTTTGGGATGGTTAGGGCATCCCCGACTCCGGATTTTTCGTATGGAAAATGGCGTCATTTTTTTGGGCGTTGCAGGTGAGTTTTCTGGGGATATGTTCTCAAGCATCCAAAAAACCATAGGGATATCATGTCCAACTCCCGCGGAGTCGAAGCTTTGGAGTAGTTGAAAAACCATGACAGTTTCCAACTGTTGGATGTTTCTAACAGGGATGAGGAGCGACACATTGGAAGAATGTGGAATGAGATGGAATTAGTACTCGTATGAGCAAAGTTTTTGGGATTTCTGAATGGGTTTGTTCAGAAATGGGATATACCCTCTGGAAATTTAACATAGCTAATTATGGAAAATCACCATTTTTAATGGGAAAATCCACTATTAATGGTGATTTTCCATAGCTATGTTAAATTACCAGAGGGTATAACCCCAGTTTATGTCCATTCAAATGGGAAACATCGGAATTGAGGGTACCCCATTTTCAGACAGACCCATTGGCCAAACATCCATCGACAACTCGACTTGGCGCAGGTCCACCTGCTGTTGTGCATGTCTCGCGGGAGGACTGGAACCGCTGGAACTGGAGAACAGCATTTTTTTGGTTGGTACCCTCTGGTTATTCAACATGGCCATGGAAAATGGCCCATTTATAGATGGTTTACCTATTAAAAATGGTGATTTTCCATGGCTATGTTAAAGTATACGATACCATCATAGATAGAACATGAAATAAACGTTTTAGAATGTTTTAGAACCCCGCGCCCGGCCGCGATGAGGTAAATGGTAAATCATAGTTTCAACATTTGGCAACATCCTGGAAACACCTTCGAATATAATATATATATATATATACACATGTATTTATAAGATGTAAATTCGTTTCGGGGTTCCTCACAGGAAGGATTTGTAAAAACATGTAAAAACACATCCCAGCCATGAGGGCCGCGGCGTTTCCCGGAGTGCATAATAGTGAGATGTTTAAGGCTGTGCAATGATATTTATCTATCCTCTCCTCTCCTCTTCTATCCTATGTTATTTTATCGTATCCAATCTGTCGTGTTATCCTCTGCGTCTGCCTGCCTTCCCACCTGCCTGCCTATTTCTTTACCTTTCCGTTGGGTCCTTGGGCCTTATCAAAATTAAGCATCATCCAAAGGTGCTGTTAGACTGGTGCTGACCCAAGTTTCCGTGGCCTCCAACTAAGAAGCTGGATGCACAAGCATGTTTTCAAAATTCAGATTAGGTGAGCCCAAAAGTCACAGAACTTGGCCCTGTCATTGTGTTGGGTGAGGTTTTTTCGACCCAAAAGATGAACTAACTAGCTCAACTAGGGGTGCAGTTGGTTCTTGCTGGTTGTAGAGTTGGGACACACCTCCTATAGCTATGGTATGCTATGGTTATATATCGACTTATAATTGGACCTGCATCCCCAAGCATACATTTTCGTGGTAAATATGTGCTGTTCCCTGCAACGGGAACCCCGGCATCAGGATGCAAAAAAGAGGTTCCTCTACCAGTGCTTTGCGCCAGGAATGCGTTCAATTGGTCGTGGGTTGCGCTAAACTGGTCTTGAGCTCAACTGGAGATTGAAGTTCAGGGACCCCGCAACCAATTCAAATAGGATCAACACATATCAACACTAATTAAACAGCAAAATGGCTGACAGTAACCCACGGACATTGGACTCAAGAGTCACGCAAAACAACATATCCAAACCTAGGATCGGGTTGTCGCAATAAAAATTGGAAGCTGAAACTCCCCTACGGGACCATCCCCTACGGGACCATCCCCTACTTTTTCCGAGACACACCCATGCAACATTGGTGGATTCAGGGATCCTTCGTTCTTCTTGGGTGCCCAGTTTGTAGGTGGCTACTAACCAGATAACGTACCCCAGTTATGGGTTACATCCCCAGGGATCAAGATGGCTTTCACCATTTTGCATATCCACGAATCCACGAGTGGATCGAAGCATGATCGAAGCATGATTCAGTGGTTAGTCCTACAACTTGACCACTTCATCACTACTATGGAATGACCATCCTCATCCCATTGAGAGTTTTATTTTTGTATGTGATCTTAATCATCAATGGAATTATATGGATTATCATTCATCAATGGGGAAGCCATAAATGCATATAAATGTCATGATGATCTCCATAATTATGATATTGATGCTCATCTGTTGTAATATTCCATGATAATTATAATCATATAATCTTAATTCATTGATTCATTGATCATTAATTTATATCAATGATCAAATCCAATGACCGACCATTCCAACCATCCCCAAATTTGGTATTTGTTTATGGCATGGGGTTTCCCATGTTATTCCAGTTATCCATTCTCCATCTATTATTCTTGGTTATGTAACATCATGTAACTCAAATTATTAATCAGTATTGACCACTATTTTCAGATATTTTCAGCATTCTTACTGTAGTCATTACTATCCAGTACTAATCATTACTATCCATTACTAACCATTCCTAACCATTACCCTCTGGTAAACTAACATGGCTATGGAAAATCACCATTTTTAATGGGAAAACTCACTATAAATGGCCATTTCAATAGCTATGTTAGTTTACCAGAGGGTATGAACTATGAACTACATGGGGATGATCCTCCCAGTGGACTCAGCATCGAGGATTTTCGCCACGAAGCCCTGTTGAAGGGCGTCACCAGCTGGCTCTGTGAGGGACGTCGCGACTTGGTGAATCAGCAGGTTGCAGGATGAGATGGTGATTTTCTGACAGAAAACCATGGGGAGTTACCCTCGAAACATGTACTTTGTTACAGTTTGCGACATTGAACATGGCCTAGTCGAAACAGTTGATTTACGAAAAATGGTGGTGATTTTCCAGTTCGCAAACTGTTAGTTTACCAGAGGGTACCCCATCTAGTTACGACTAAGATAGTTATGGAGAACCCCCTATTTGGTCATTTTCCCAGTGAAACCACTCTGGTCAGCCACATGGCTAGCTGATGCTAGCTAGCTGGCAGTTCTCCCCGAAAATCGTGGATTTTTCAGCAAACCATGTTTGATTACAGGTATATTCCAAGCATGTTTGATTACAAGAGGGTATATTCCAAGCATGTTTCCAGCAAGAGGGCAATCATGAAACAATGGGAGTTTTCACCAGTTATTATATAACTGGGATTGAAAGCAACAATTTTACACGTGGGCAATGGGACATCCACTATAAAAGAGAGGGTTTTTTCATGGGTTTTCTAGGAAAATCATCTATTGGTGGATTTTTCATTGCCATGTTTGACTACCGGGGGGTAACTTGAGTTGAGTCCCATCTTTCTGCGTAAGATAAGGTTCTTGCATCCTTTTTTTGTCACATGCATCCTTGGATGGTTTAGATGGTTCATATTTTCGGGTCGAAGTCGTAAATGGATGAACATATCCAGGTGTTGACCGACTGATGCGAGGGTAGGTAGATTTCCTAAGGCACCCTGCGGCATCACATGGGTTGAATTCCGACCCATGGATCATCGACCCATGGTGATAGATGAAATTTCAGGTTTCGACCCGAAAGTATGAAGCCAAAAATTCATTTTAGGATTTTGTATACTATGGTGCAAACCCATGACATAACTATGGAAAAGATCCTTTTTGGTAAATTATCGAACTGAATCGGCCATCTATACCACACGTGTGGAAAATCTAGGTTTTCATTAGGAAATGGTCTACATCCATGGTGTTTTTATGTTGTTTTTCCATATCTATGTTTTTTTCCTGGAAGGTCCCAGTTTCTGAAGCCAGGCCATGCGGAACTCTCAGCCGAAGAGGCGAGGACTCAAAAAATGTCGTGTAGGGAACCTTTTGGGGATATAATGAAGATATACTGGGGACAATGAATGATATACATTATGGGATATAAAGAGTAACCAACCATGTGATTATATGACTTTGGATCCGAAAAAATAGGAGAACCCCCCAATTTTCCCCATTCGAATTGCCAGAATATAGGGGTTAACCCCCCACCGAGTTTTTAGGCCGAGGAAGAAACACTCGTTTTCGGGGCTTGAAGACATTTGGATATGGGACGGCTTTATTAAAATGATCGAAAATGTCTTTTTCGTGTTGTCAAAAACGTTTTTCGCAATCATGGTGGGTTTTTATGTTGAAAAACTCTTGCGATGGGTCCAAAAAGCGGAAAGCCTCTTGTGTGGTGGCTTGCTGGAAAACAAGCCATTTACTTCGATGATTTTCCGCCTGGTCCACAACGGTAACCCAATGATTTGACCATGGCCATTCTAGGCACTCTTCATCATATCTATATATATAATTACAAATACCCTCTGGTTATTTAACATAGCCATGGGAAATGACTCATTCATAGATGCTTTACCTATTAAAAATGGTGATTTTCCATGGCTATGTTAAATAACCAGATGGTATATGTCTATACTGTAAATCCCTCTCTATTGGCCGAAGCCCAGTTTGACCCAGGTACGGCTGACATCCCCATGTTTGTTGCTTTGAACCCCGAGATATATCCAATTTTTTCATCAAATGCAGCACTTGAATCACCGATTTTGATGGTCACAGCATTCATCAAGTTACGTCAAGTAAAATCCAAGGTGTCCCGATTTTGTCGGGTAAATCCAATCAAATCCCATTTTTTGACGGTTTTGTTTCAGTCATATGAGTCAGTAAAATACTGTTTTTTTTTCAAGAATCAACCATATTATTTTTTCTTTCTGAACCACCAAAACATGATTTTTTGCAAAGAAATCCACATTTTTTTGGATTAAAATGTGCTGAACAAATCGCAAGGTGGCTGCTTTCCTGGACAGCTTCGCACAGCTGGGCTATGCGCAGCCTTTGCTGCGAGCGGCGCTGGAACATGCCAGGGTTGCCCAGGGATGCCCAGGGGGAAGCAACGTGAGGCATGGGATTTCTGGTTGATCAATGTTTATCATGAATTCCTTATGAAATGATGACATGTTGAATGGACTCGTTAGCTCATTTAACTCATTTCACTCATCCATTGATTCATTGATTCATTGATTCATTGACTTAAGTTAAAAGAATCATAAAGAATCAATGTTGTGACTTTGACGGGGTTTGTCTGAACATTATGGCACAAAACCGTTCCATCTTCTGCTTTATCATCAATTTTCCCAATTAAATGGTGATGAAATGCTGAACGGAATTTGGGGGTAGCAAAATACCTCATCAAACATGATAAACATGGGGAATTTAATAATCGACAATAGGGATTTAATGGGATTTAACGGGGATATAACTGAATAGAATTGATATGATGGTTGAGTAACATAGTTGATATACTAGTTCAACATGATTTGAGGATTATTTTACCAATAGATATGGATATGTATCATGGGTATAAAATGTGGGTATCGAGTGATCTAAACCCCTGTTGGTTGATGATTATAACGTGGATACAATGGGTATATAACTGATTATATATATATACATATACATATACATATACATATAATGCATATAATGGTTGATATAATGGGCTATGATCCATGACCAGGATTATATTTGGATATAATGTGGATTTTGGTGGGTGAGCAGTTACTTAATGAGGACACTTCATCAAACATGTGGTGATATAGCTGCTGAATGATGGTTGGTTGATGATTCTAGAGGGTTGTACTGCTGTATTGGGAATTATGACAATCCATGAAATGATTTCCCCGTTCTTAACTATCCAGTACTGCTCAACTGGTGGGAACATAGGAAACATGGTTTGATACGTAGATAGTGGGGATAATGTGTGGGCATAGTCTGGGATATCATTCATAAGCATTGAACATGTTGGAATGATCGTGCACAGTGCACATATGTTGAAAAGTGAGGGCTTGAACCATTAAAAGAACTTGTAGGTTAATCATGAACCAACAATGGTAAGGATATTTGGGATGTTAACCGTCAAACAGTAGCTGTGGCTCGAAAATCAGGAGGTTCACTAGATCCAACTTGATTAAGACATACTCAGCATCAGAATAGATTTTTATCTTTGGTAATATGGTTGGAGTTATGCTTGGATCTGAATCAGCAATAGCTGGGTATATTCCGGAATACTAACGATCAAAACATGCTTTGTCTAAAGGTGGTCTTAAACCAACAAAAGTGGTGGTTTGAGTACACGCAACTTGACCAACATTGCTTTTGTATCAATGGTTGGAAAATGATGGTTTAAACAATTTGAACAGGTTAAGAAACAAACACTAATCCGTTTTCGGCTGATGGGATTAGATCCATTTTTCTTTGACGGGCTTGTCCAGTGAAATATCCAATTTTTTGTCTGACAATGTGGTATATGTATTCCAACATAGCCATCTTTACAGTCAAACATGGTTATGTCAGTTATGTATGTCATCATAAATGGTGGTATATCAACCAGCTTTTTTTCGGGACTCGCTTCTTGGTCATTAGTTTTTACTTTGGCGGTCAACAGCATTGTTGAACATGAGATTTTGGGGCATTTTCGCCAGCAAAATAGGAATCTGAAGCGGTCGAACCGCGGGACTATCAACACATCATGCCATGGCGGTGAAATCCATGAACCAGGAAAGTTGCTTTGACGAATGCTGCCACAAACCCATAACAACCACTTTATCAACAAGTTGAGAGAGTTTTACTTTGACATGTATGCATATACATTTATATGGTTTATCCATGTTTATCCATGTTTATCCTGATTTAATGGCAATTTTGAGGTACTGTAACCCCAATTTTTAGGCAGACCCTCATTTGAACCACACCCACATATATCATTGTTTCCTTGTCCAGCTGTCGAGGCCCTCTTGCGTGCTGGAGACTGAGTTACAATCGTGGTGGACTGGTGTTTTTACAGGCAGATATCTGGTTCACACCCGTTTACCATGAAGAAAATACCACTCTCATTACTTTTCCTCTCAAAATTACCCTTTGCTTACAATATTTAACATATTTAACGCAGTTATAGAGGATTTACCTATATTTACCTATATGGGTATGGATCAATACCTATTAATACCATTTTTAGGGGGATGAACATCCATTTACCAGCTATTTTGATGTTCACCAGGGGTACAAGGTTTTGACCCATCCCCATATATTTACCTTTATTTAAACATGCTGGATTTTTCCCGTTCGCAAGGCGAAAACCAATTCGAGGTCGCACCCGAGATGCCTCCTGAGAGCTGCACCCGAGCTCTACAGGGTGCCATCGATGTAGGCCCCTAAGCGCGCCATCGTGATCGATGGGATGCGCCAGTTGCGACTGGGTTTATATTTGTATATCTTGTAATCTTTGTATAATATACAGTAATTATATATATATATTATATATATTATATATTATATATTATATATATTATTATAACCTATAATATATTATGATATGTACATATGATATACACCCTTGCAAAATAACATACACCTCGAAAGACGAACAAAAACCCTTTCTTAACATGGCACCTGCGGTCAAGGGCTTTATCTTAACATGGAAAAAAAGTCTACCCCATGGGGTCTATATTTTTTCCTATGTTAACCTGGACCATCTTGCACCAGAAACACTCCCCAATTAACATGGACAATATATAACAATTGTCCATGTTATTTTGCCAGGGAGTATATATATATATGATATATACATATGCACATATATAATGGTGGCAAACCTGTATGTAACTATTATATATATACACATAAATCAACCTTCGTTGTGCCTATGACTTTTGTAACCCTCTGAAATGGCAAAAGGCAAATGGAGTGCAGTATAGCATCCGATAGATGGGCCCCTTACAATTGGGGTATTTACTTTGCCTCAGTGGACCAGTGGTACATGGTCTGAGTAGCAACATAGCATGAAAATCCACCAGAGATACAGATGGTTTATCTTTAAACACGGTGATTTCCCATTGCCAGGTTGAATTACTCGGGGGTAAGCCATTGAACGCTGTAGATGTCGGGCCAAAACGGTGAATGCCATCGTTATTTTCCATCCCATGAGTGTGTGGCTGGCAATGACAGGCATGTCAGTGCGTGGCACTGCGGTGAGATCCTTGCCGGGTAGCTCAGTTGCTGGGGCACACCGCTTTGGTAGCCCTCCCATGGCCCAAGCGAAGCAGTTTTCCTCCTTACTCAACTGCCAGTACTTTGAGTTTACTTGGGTCAGAAGTTCCGGGTTGAAGACCACAACGTTCAGTCATGCTTTGTTTTTTTTTGGGGGGAAGTCGTGCTGGAACATCTGACTCTCTTGTGTTTTCAAAGCTTGACACTGGGGTTTCAGAATTTCAAAAGGAATAGGCAATGCTCAAACGTATTGGTGGTGTTTTGTGAGCACGAAGGTGAGGAACTCAGGACACGTACCATCCAATTTGATCCAATTTGTATATTCCGGGAAGTCCCAAGTCTTGACTCTTGACCGGGGCTTTAAGCATCACAGAATTTGGCAGTTTCAAAGTTTCTGACGAGTTCGTGGGTGATGAGCAAATTACAGGAACATCACTGGCCAACCTCATTGAAAACTGGTAAATCCGAGTAATCCACAGGTGGGTCGACTTCTCCAACTCCCATGGTTTCTTTTTGAGTTAAGATATGGATTTCATGGGCTTTCCATAAGTGGGGCTACCCCCGAAATCCTCCAATTTTTTGGATTTTCCATGAAATAAACCATCCAGCTATTGGGGTACCCTTCATTTCTGGACCTCGAACCACCTGCTGGTGGCTGCTTCCAGTTCCAGGCTGCGTCGTTGTGGCAGTCGCCTGAAGCAGCTACCGGAGGAGGATGTTGGGAATGCCCAGCGGTGGAAGCTGTGGCTCCCAATTTTTTGGTCCAGAAAAGAGACATTTTCGTGACACGTTTGATAGTTTAATATCTGGGTATATCTGAATATATCTGATTAATTATATACATCTGATGATCTATTTTGTTGTTGGAGTTCCCAATTTCGACTTAGACCCACCTGATGACTTAAATGGGATTGGGCCAAGGCCAAAACCTATTATTATCAATTTTAGTGGGATGAACATCCATTTAGTAGCTATTTTAGGGTTCATTAGCTGCCAGGGTTTTGACCCATAGCCAAATGGATGATTGATGTATTTTTTAAACCAATGCTCAACTGGTGACATCAACTCACCAGGGGAGACTGGGCGAAGGCCCACTGGTCAGACGTTCGAAACAGCCCCAGACTTCAATGTAAACTTTGTTATACTGATGTTATACTTATGTTTTTGTTATTTGTTTGGAATCAACTTCACATTCCAAAATTATCATTCCAACTAAGTTCATATTAAGCCGGGGTGTTTTATTTACATCTCCAAGATCCCAGTGACATCGGGGGCGGCGATTTTTTCGCGGCCAAGGCGGAGAAACTTCGCCATCTGGTGTGGGGCCCAGCAGTAGCAGTCTCCTGGGGCAGTTTGGGGCAGCGGTTTTTCATCCATGTGAGGTGGAATCTGACAGCAGATACACCTGCAGCTGGCTCAATTGATTTAGACTGGCATCAGACTTATGTCGTCCTATGGTTGTCGATGGGCATTCTAATACCAACAGGTATCCATGAGAAACCTTTCAAACAAATTCAGGCTACATCTGTATTTGCACAGAATTTTGTGAGTCCCTGGCATTGCATGCTGCATGAAATCAAGAGACGTCCACTTCGTAAAAGCAGCGAATCCCAGCTGCTGAGAGGATGTTGCTTCTAGACTCTACGAAAGTGGGATTAACACATTTTTAATGGGTAAATCATGGTAAATCCCATAAAAATCACAATTTTTAATTGGTAAATCATGGTAAATCATGGTAAATCGCCATTTTCTAATCAGGGTGATTATATACATTTTTGTTGTAAGCAGCTTTTAAATGCTTTTAAACGATCTTCGAGTCACTAGTCACAATGTCACCTACGTGCCATCAGCTTTTCCACCAGGGCCCTTCAAAAGGACCACCCTGCTATGGATATTCCACAACGCCTGCAACCTGTGCAGCCTGTGCCGGTGCCAGCTGAGCTAACCCAACTGGCAGCTGCCAGCGTCCAAGATGAATGGTGTCAGCTGCTCATCTTACGCGAGCAGGTGGGACCCCCGAACAGCAGTGTCACCCCCCAAAAGGTCGCCAACGGCAGAAGATTGACGGGGTACCATGTGAACGGCAGATGCCTTTGCTTTTTTTTTGGGGAGGTAGTCCTCTAGTGACACAATCGACAACGGTTTAGCAATGCAGGGCAGGGTTTACATTAATCTACTGGAAATCGAACAATGCAACGAAATCACCTTAAGAAGATGTCTCCTGAGATAGGTGCCCAGTAGACTGGTGGATTGGGATGATTGTACTGGGTATGTCTGAAAATGGGGTATATGGTAACCCCTCCAATGGCGATTTAAATGGCCCAATTTCAAGACAAACCCGACTCTATTCATTGGGAACCAAGATCAATCAGCCAGAACCGATGACAGGAAGGTGAACTGAGCACTGCTCACCGGGCAAGATCTGTCAGAAATTCAGAAGGGTTCCTGATGGAACATATTTTTTTTCAGCCAAATCAGGTTTGTTTACCGGATCACCCCTCATACAAACTTGGAAGGGGCGATGAACAAATCGGCTATCCCATATCAGATGGATCACTCAGCGAATCACTGCCGATCACAGATGCGAAACTCTCCAAGAATGGGGTACCCCTATCCAGTGGCCTGAAACCTCATATTCCCCATGAATTCTCCTGGGTGGTTCCAAATCTATTGCATTTTCAACCATAGTTGGGATGATGATACAGCTGCGGTATTCACACATTTTGCGATGCTTGGCGCAACCACCAACCGGAATTGCTCCTTTTTCCATCGCATGATCTCCTGACTAAGGTTGCTTTAAAAAACATAATTTTAGTGGCCCTCCATAAAACAGAGTCTCATTTTTGAAGGACAAGTTACCCTCAGTGAAATTGACATAGCTATGGAACATGTATGAACATGACCCATTTAGTTTGATGATTTACCTATCATAGCACCCCTCAGATAGAATCGTTGGACACCTGGTTGATGGGGGATCGCCTTCACCTTCCTGGAATAACTTTTCTATTTCGGGGCTACGTCATGTGCCACGATCGAAAGTTGGTATAGAAATTTTGGGGAATGGTGATCAATCCATTTTCATAGGGTTTTTTGGATTCCCTTGGATGAATGACCAGAAACCATATACCATCTGACCCATGACGCACATCTGGTGGATTTGTCCGTGGTGATGACCAGGTGGCGCGGCGCGAGAAGCAAGCCACCTACTGGCAGCATTTGCGGACTTTGGCCCAAGCCAAAGAGCGATGCGTGCAATGCCCCTCGGCGCCGGAGGTTTTCGGTTCGGGGAGCAACAAACATGGAGATCTCAAGTAAGGCAACGTGGGTTCAAGGACGACTTAGCCAAGAGGGATTCAAAACTTGGGACTCAACCATCAAACAGGGGGCTTGTTTCTCAAAACCTGGGATTTTAAACATCAGACATGGATAAACATGTGGGGACGATCAAAATCTGGGAGGATCGTCCTCGTGGGGGGTCGTCTCGGGTCCCATTCTCCGCTGGTTATCATCATTCTCCGCTGGCCCTACCAAAAAAAGACCATTTGGAGGTTTACCATGGTATACCCGATTTTCAGACAGACCCATATATTTCCCATATATGTCCAGATATTTCTGGTGTGAAACTGCCAGAGAACCGTTGATCCTTGGGACCCAGCGCTGTTGAGGTGACATGGGACTCATGGGTTTGCAGACGGTGCTGGTGGCACTTCACCAACTCGCCCAACTTCTCATGGACTCGGAGGAGCATTCGATTCCGGTTGGCCTCAGCTGGGGCCCCTTGAAACCATGATCGAAGCTGGTTGGTGGTTTGGAACATTTTTTATTTTTCCTTATATTGGGAATAATAATCCCAAGTGACTCATATTTTTCAGAGGGGTTGAAACCACCAACCAGCAAGTGTGTTTGGAGTCCCCTTGGGTCAACCAATGAAGTGAATGGAAGTTGGATGCCGAAGGAGATCACTAGTTGAAGCTAACTTGGATGTAGTGGTAGCAAAAAATCGCTGGTCCCAGTCCCAGCAGTCAGCCTCAGATGACCCCGGGTAGGAGTCCGACTTCGTGAGTGAGACCCTGGCCGCCTTGGCTGAGGCTTTGGGGCGGACGATTTTGGAAACATAAGGAAGTCCTAGGATCGACAGAGGCAAAGACAATTTTAGGCGCTAACCAACGTCATTTTTGGGGCATCCAACCACTTGACCCATGCATTTTCACCACAGGAGGTAGGAAACTCCTATGGAGACCTTGTTTTTTTGGTTTAAACGACGGTGAAGTGGCCCTCTTTCATTTTGCCCGGACATTCATGAAGCACACATAAGCTACAGTTCGCAGCAATTTATTGAAGAACATCGGAGACACATCATTTTTAAGGTTCCCCTCCCTTGAGGTAATTACTCTCGAGACTCTTGGAGTACCAAACTCCTCAGTTTTGCTTGGTACTGTGGTGAACCCAACTTCAAACCGGTCATACCGCAGCGCATTATTTTGCAATTTCTCTTCAAATTTTGTAGAGTAATAAACCTTCAACTGTGAAGCTTTGTGATTGAGTTTATCACACAATTGTCCCTCCCCATCTTGTGGTTGTTGGTTAGATCTACATATTTGTTGTTTGGTGAAATGCCGATTTTCTTGCTTGAATCACACCTTTCGATGGTAAAATCCCAATTGTGTTGCTTAATTCCATGATCCTTGTTGAAACACCAACTTGCGTTGGTTTAGATGCCACTTTCAGTCGCTTAAATTCCAAGTCTTGTTGTTCAAATACCCATGCTTGTTGCTAAAATCTTTTTTTTTCCGCGAGAATTCCGATCCTGGACACTTAAATCATAACTGTTGCTGATTAAGTCCCAATCCTTATTACTCAAATCTCCAAAATTTCGATTGAAATCCAGATTTCTTGGTATTCAATCATATTCAATCTACATGACTCCAACTTTCAGTATCTTTCAGTGATTTCAGTGGAACCTTTCCCTCTTTTTGTGGTTCATCATGTTTTTCATACCCTCCATCCTCTGGCTTCGCCCGGCAGATCTTGGCGTCCGCCGCAGAGGAGCTGCCCAGAGAGGGCTCCGCCACCTTCCCCGTGCTACAGTTCCAGTGCCGTGGCGAAGTGGGGTAGTTCACCCCCAGGTATACCCTCTGCAGTAATTTAACATAGCTATTGAAAATGGCCATTCATAGTGAGTTTTCCCATTAAAAAAGGTGATTTTCCATAGCTATGCTAGTTTACCAGAGGGTAAGTGGATCAACCATGATTAACCCTACTCCTCCCAGAAAACCAGGGTGAACTAAGCTACTTAGTGGGATGAGCCACCATAAGCCTTAGGAAGTCCCCGATGCCGAGGCTCGTTGACCATGATTATTCCGTTGAAGAAGTGGGTGAACTAACTCCACTAACCAGTAAGTGGGATCATCCTCCAAGGCATTTTTGTTTGGGGGACAAGCTGTGAATCATTTGTGCAAACCATGATACAATGAAAACACGCCAATATTCACACTTCGATGCTGGGCTAGTCTTTCAGCGGATTTCCTGAAGCATTATTATTTTTTTTGGAGGGTGGCAAGATTTTTTGAGAACCGATATATGTAAACATGTTTTTTTTTTTTTCGGACGAAGAGACGAGATTGTTGTGGGGATTTGTTCGGGGTTTGAGGGGAGGCACCCGAGGTTCCGAGCAAAAAGCTAGAACATGGCTTGACGTGTTGGGTCTTGGGTTTGCTAGGTATATTGTGTAAGATTGTGTCAAGTAACCAGCAGCTAAGCAGCATGTTTATCGCGCAAAGGTTTGTTGTACGTATCACCCACCCCCAGTTTTTTGGTGCCCCCAAATTTTGCGGGTTTCCATCCACACCTGGGATGATAATTTGGAAGGTCTATTCTTTTTGAGCTGGGTGGAAACCACCATCCAGTGCAACATGAGGATCTGAAGCAAAACAGGGGATCTTTTGAAGCAGATTCAACCACCATAGGGTCAACCTTTGGGTGGGACAGTCGACTGTCAAGCTCAACGTCAACTTCTTTTTTGAGTTGGTCCCTGGTAGTTGATGGTGGAACATGGGGTTAGTATTGCACTACCGAACTACTTGCAACTCTACTGATATACCCCGTTTTGTTTGGTGATCAGGTGATTGTTTACTTGAAGATTGTTTCCACGAATGGTCATCGGTGAACCATCAGTATCAAATCATCAACAACAACAACAACAACAACAAAACTATTTGGATGAAAGTGGCATTGAAGCGCCAAAGATGCCGATCAGCGGTTGAATGATTAACCGGGATCATTTTTCCCTGCCTGAAATCGAATAAACCCTAACCTCTAGCACAAAGAACATCAAGAAAGGCACAGAAGGCTTGCAAGGGACATGGCCAATCCTAGATACCCAGCCAAAAAACGTTTTTTCCTCAAAGACCAGGTTGTAGATTTCCCATGATTTCCCCGCAAAATAAACCATTGACCGTGACCCAAAGTGTACCCGGCGTATCCAAAAAACCAAGTTTCAGTTCCAAAAGTTCACCAATCCGACGTTAGATGGGTATGGATCAATACCTATTAATACCATTTTTAGTGGGATGAACATCCATAAATCCCAGCTATTTTGATGTGAACAAAAGGGGTACAAGGTTTTGACACACTGCCAGATCTCCCACTGCTGTGGGTCTTTCCAACTGTGGCGTTTTTGTCGTTTCGATCTTCTGGTTGATTGGGTTCAACATGTTTTGTTAGAGTCCAAGTCCATGGGTCAATTTCGAATGCATAAAAGGCAGGTTTTTTTCCGAAGAAACATCACCATAGATGCTGATGAAATTCCCGTGTCTGAATTCTGTTTGCAAGACATACTTGGAAAATCCATTCAAATCCCATTCAATGTTGGTTTTCATCAGTGAAAACACAAGTTTATTGGTGACATCAATTCAACTGCACATTTTTTGCTTATCAAATTCCATGTGCATTCCCAAATCAATATATCCAAAATCAATATAACAATAATTTTTCCTGAATACCCTTCAGTAAATCAAGATAGATATGGAAAACGCGTGGTGACTAACTGTAGGAACATGATCTACAAATCCAGGGTTTTCCATATCTTAATTTGCAGGGTCAAATCCATCAATTTCCAGTGAAATTACAAAATTTTCCCATGAACATCCATGAGGACCCATGAGGATCAATCCATTTCCCATCAACATCCATGAGTTTCCCATAAAAATCAACATCCGTTGAGGCTCCAAGAGTTCGCTGAGTACCTGGGAGAAGTGAATCTGGTGCCTCGTGGGCACCGACCCAAACTACCCGCGGCTGGAAAGGAGAAGGAGTGGACGACGGGGAAAATGACGTTTTTTTTCAGCGAAAAAAAACACAGAAACTGTGAATTTCCATCATCTACCCTCTGGTAAACTAACAAAACTATGGAAAAATCATAGTCTTGAATGGGTAAATGAACTATAAATGGCAATTTTCAATAGCTATGTTAAACTTCCGGAGGGTACATTTGGACTGAAGTACGAAAATAGGGATTCAATGATTGAACCATCAAGAACAATGGGTGTTTCAGTGGATTTCAGTGACACAAGTTGAGATTTCACCAACAGAAAGGGATTTCGCCGCCAGGAAATCTTCACCTGCAACAGTTGGTATTTTGCCAAGAGGAATTGGGAGTCAATCAGCAAAAATGGTAGTTCAACATGGTTCCTTCTATTACACGTTCCACAAACCATATTTGCAAGGTCTACAGAGTCTACATGATTGTTGGTTACTAAATTCACAGGATCCGCGGATCCAAGTTGTCTGTAGATTGTGGTTGATGGAAAATTATCCCCATGCTGTCGGGATTGTTGGTTATCCAGACAGGGTTTTGATCATTTTTGGCACGGAATTCTTCAAGAAGGAACATTATTTAATATTTTTTGGGTATTGATCAATACCTATTAATACCATTTTTAGCGGGATGAACATCCATTTACCAGCTATTTTGATGTTCACCAGGGGTACAAGGTTTTGACACACTGCCATTTATACTCTCTCCAGTCTTCAGCCCGTTGATTGCGTTTATTCCATCGTTGGGGTTCTTTTCGGCAGGATTCCTCGCTTGCCTGATAGCATGGAGGTCGAACATCGGACCTGGAAAACCAAAGCCATGGATTCAGCACGGACCAGCTGTGTTGGTGGCGAAGTGTGTAGATATCTTCAAACATCTTCAAACCATTTTTTTAGTTCTAGCAAGTTCCTAGCAGTGCAGACGAACAATCATGATTAATTAGGATTTTCGGGGCTTATGGTGGGTACAGGGTTTCAACACCAGCTGTATGCAGACATGCAGGCATTCATTCCATTTCTTCTGACACATTCATGTTGCGGAGAATCTGTGGAATCCCGCATCAAACGTTTTTCCTGTTCCCTATGTTGCCGGAATGAGCAACGCAATGTAGCCATGGGCGGGTTGCTGATGGACCCTGGAGGTTCGCTTCGACCCACATTTTGGTCCAGCGTTTGGAACTACCGCCGTCGATCACAGCAGTTGCAGCAGCGTGAGCGATGACCGTCAGATGTATCTTGTTTCGTAGAGGCAAGCCAAAGTCACAGCTGGCCATGAGCAATTTGCCACACTTTCTTTGAGGACGGAAGTTGGAAGCTGCCAGCGGGTCTCAAAAAAGTGGGGAAAATCGATGGGAACATCCAATTTTTTATGTCCCTTTTGGCTGCTTTTGGTGATGAAAATTCGCATTTTTGGAATTCCGATCTTTTGGCTCAGGTGGTCAAATCTTGGATGATAAACTCAGATGCATGGATGTCTGTATGTCTGTCAAATCTTGGAGCCTAAAATCTACCGAACATGGTATGTCCATCCCGAAAAAAGTTATAAGTCAATTCTTAGTACCGCACATACTGAGTAATTTCTGGAGTGTTTGCCCAAGGCTGGCCTTGTTTTAATGTTGCCCCCCAGGTCTGATGGCTCAATCATGTCAAATCCTGTCAAAACATGCTAAATCTGTATTCTTGATGGTTAACTCCATAGGTTAACTCATGTTAAATCAGTTAAATCTCCACATTTTTCTGATTTTTTCAGTACCTTGTGACGTTGTGGTCATTTCTTCAGTGGCATCCTTGGCCTCGAGGCCGCTTCCGTACTGCATCAAGCAGAGTCGGAGGTGCTTGCGACAGCCTCTTTGACCAAGCTCGGTGACCAGGCTGGTTGGATCTATGGATGATTTTGGGATATTTTGGGATGGTTTATAGTGAGATATTAGATGTAACCCCCCAAAAAAGATGCCGAACAATCTTTCCAGGATGCTAGTTCGATGATGTTTTCCCTGAATGGCTTCCAACTGTTCGATCTTTTTTCTTTTGTTTTTTTTTGTATTTCATCGTCACAGGAAGATGGTGTGGAACCAAAAAAATTGGTGTTCCCCCGATTCTTGGATGATTTCATGATGATTTATGGAACGCGCTTAAGCGCGGTTTGACACTATTATGGGATCAACGGCAGGAGCATCCCACTTGATAGGCTTAGTTTCCGCATTTAGAAGCAGAATATGTACCCAAATTGTAACTGGGATGATAAGCCAACATCTTAAATTTATGTTTTTCCGCAACTCACACTTCTGTTCGTTGGTTGAATATGGTTCGATTTGAAATGAAACATCTTCATACAATGGAAGCATAGGGATGTGAAGACTGGGGTGAGCCTTCCATATCGATTTTCAGGTTGGTATAGACGTGGTTATTAGATACCTGCAACTAGGGATATTTGCCAATCGAATGGGGTTGAAACGCCATTTGCAACTGGTATGGCAAATGGTTGTAGATGTAACACTAAAGGATCCCGAAAGCTTTTGCAAAAAGGTTTGCACAAGTTACCAGACGTGTTTCTGCGTTTCTGTATCGGAAATGAAGTCAGAGCCCGGCTGGATGAAACGCGGCTTTTCTCACGATTTGTATGGGAATGAATCTAGGATGCCCAGCCGAAAGAAAAATGCCAGCGGTAGGGGAATATCCGCACGGGGGGTCGTCCCAATCGCATACTTTGCTTGCGAAAGGTCTTTGAAACAACATGAAATAAGATATATATGGAGATTTCCTGAAATGGGGGATCGATTTTTATAGGATTTTCCATTATAATAAACTAACCACTTTGGCGTTCCCCGGGTTCCCCCATTTATGGAACCGCCCATATCTTACAATTCCGTTGGACGCTAAACATCTGAGATCCTGGTGTTTTTCCATCATGGGTGATAGTGGGACTGATCCATGTTTCACCGATGTTTATGGATGTTTATCCATGTACCCTCTGGTAATTTAACATAACTATGGAAAATCACAATGTTTAATGGGAAAATCCATTATTTCTATGGCCATTTTCAATAGCTATGTTAAATTTCCGGAGGGTAAATGATCTCCCATTTTAGTTCCATCATTTATTTTCTCCCCACGAAAGGAGTCAATATCCAGATGCCCCATTGGATGTCGGTCTCACAAATATTACAGGTAGAACAAGTAAAAGCCTACTGAAACAGTGATGAAACACATTTTATTTACATTTTCATTTTCGAATTACACTTTTTTTTGCAGTTCCCGTAAAACAAAATGAATCATATCCCAATCCCAACAGCCGCTGCGGCAGGCGCAACGCCTACCGTTGGATCTTCAACTCTTTCGCAAGGCCATCCTCGATGAAATGGGAAGTATCACAACCCTCCAAGTTCGGAGGTTTATTATATTTTACGATTGGGTTATCATTTTTTAAAATGGGAAACCATATTTTACGATGGGTTATATATTGGGCTATCATCTTTATTATATTTTACGATGGGAAACCATATTTTTTTCCGGTCAAACACCTTTGAGGCATAGCCAAATGATGCCAAATGGATCATCAAGAGACTTGGCGGTGCTTTTGGGGATCCCTTGTTCTCGCACCAAGGTCCTATCGGGAACTTACGAAATCTTATCAAAGCTTCCCAACGTTTTTACATGTTTTTACAGTAATCAATCCTGGCTTTTGTACTAAACAGAATACTTCCTGATCTTCCTGATGTTTCCAGATCATTTGGTTCAAACTTCCAGATTCCAATATTTCTAATGCACCGCTCTGCATCACCTTTGCCGCAGAACAAGAGCAGGGATCGCATCATGTCCTCCAAGGGTGACCATTGCTACTTCGAGATCTTTGGTCCAGATGGATACTAGCAGCATCAATGAGCCAGAATATGTCGATTAGGGACGTTCGTTGATGCTCTGCCATAAATGGCTCTTAATGGGCTTGAGTTCGCCCTCATAACCTTGGCATGGCTAGCTTTGATCTGTGACACTAAGCATCCAAGGGTCTAGGAAGGTCTTCTCAGCCGCCAGGACTTTGAAGTGTCCATTGATTTTTTGTGAACCCAAACAACCTCACAGCAACGTCGACGACAGATTGACATTCCAGCCAAAAATTGACCCTTCATACTCTTGGGATGGGTCATTTGGGGGGTAGCTCACTCATTTCAATTACATAGAAGATATAGAAGATGATTGTACTGTATGAACTGGCTATGGATCAATACCTATTAATACCATTTTTAGGGGGATGAACATCCATTTACCAGCTATTTTGATGTTCACCAGGGGTACAAGGTTTTGACACACTGCCAACTAAGAATAACTAAGATTATTAAGATTCTGAAATTCTGCCATGAAATCCCTGTCAAATCCTTCTGAAATAGCCATGTGAAATTCCTGTGAAATTCCCCATGGTTTGGGCACGCGAAAAAAGCACGTCCCAATCTCCAGGCAGTCACCGACCAACTGGGCTTCGGCTGAGAACACCATCGATTTGTACTGGGATTTGGATCTGTAGATTTTCGTGCAGTTGAAACCTGTTTAAATCATAGTTTGGGGATGTTTGGGGGCTTTGAACATCTAAATGGTTCATGTTTGACTCACGTAATTTTGTAGGCATACTTAATGCACCCCGGGTCGTGTTTTGGAGGAAACAGACAATCATAGCCAGTGTTGACGGACGCTATTCCTCAATCTTTGGCGCGCATCCGATGCTACATTGATTCGTCGCTGAAAAAGCGGATTGATTCTTGCGTGCCCCGAGAGGATTTCATAAGCACACGTAGAATAGCTTACCCTCCGGTCATCAAACATGGCACTGGAAAATTCACCATGTATGCACCATTTTCCCTTCAAAGCTTCCATGGTAATAGCGGATTTCCAATTGCCATGGTGAATGAACTTGGGTTTGCCCAAAGACTGCCAGTGGCGAGTGGAAGTTCGGCCTTTCGGCCTCGTGCCCCATCCAACATCCGAAATTCCGGAAAACGTGGATCCTGAAAACGTGATCGCTTGTCCCAGCCAATTTCCTCAAACAATAACCCCGTATTCATGGCTGCCTCCTATTCATCATGGATAATTATTATGGGACCCCAGAATGAACAAAAATGAAAAGATCCAGTTTTTCGAAGCAAGGGATTCGGTACAGGGATTAGGTCAAATGATCATGCAAAAGATCCGGCCTTTGGCTCAAACACAACTGGAGGTGATGAGTGAAAGCAGGATCACGCGGGGTGCAGCTCCAACCGCAACTGAACTCCCAAGTGTTTTTGACTAACAGTAAACTTCTCCCTTGAGTTCTAAGTTGGTCAATAAACCGATCGAACTATAGATATTGATATGGCTATGGATCAATACCTATACATACCATTTTTAATGGGATGAACATCCATTTACCAGCTATTTTGATGTTCACCAGGGGTACAAGGTTTTGACCCATTCCCATATATCTGAATGCCTACAGTTGCGTATTTCGTGAAGTTCTGCATGGGCAACACTTCATAGTTCGATACTGGTGCTGCAGCATGCGCTGTCGCAGCTGTGTGCTGCTGGCCACTTGGTGAATTGAATCAGAGCCTCGCCATGGAAGCCATGGCCCATTTAGTTCGTTGCTTTACCTATGAACAATGGTGATTTTCCATGCCTATGTTAAATAACCAGATGACCAGATGGTAATTGGTGAGATATCATGGTGTCATGTTATATAATATGACATACTTTGACATTGTATATTTATGTATCAAAGTAAGATTGTATTGCAGCGCATGTCTTTGTTCCTTCAACTTGTATAGTGATGTATTAAGCAGAAATAAAAAACGACGCGAGGACTGACATTGGCTCACTGTCCTGATTTTCAAGAAGACTCATTCATCATTCATCTGCAAGGTAGGGGCAATGGACAACCATTGCAACTGCCCTTTTATACTGTATGTGTCTACACTTCACGAAAGTCTTTCGACAACAGGACCAACTTGTGGTTACTGATACCCCATTTGACTGCGTCAATTTTTCACACCCAGGGGCGCACATTTTGGTCACTTTTCGGGCCTTGACTATCCTATTCAAAAAAACACCCAAGAAAAGAACTTTCATGTGCTCCACTCACCATCCTCATATTGTTGCTTGGTGATATCATCACTCAGTTTCTCATTTCGTTGGCGACATCTCAATATTCTCAATAATGTTAGTCAAGCAGTTGTAAACCATCCTCAAATTTACCATAAATGGTTGGTATTAAACATTAATCCATATGGCTGGTCCATGACATTGCTATACAAAATCATTCGTTGTGTCGCTTTTCAGCGGTGCAGTCTGCGGTGTTTGGACCCGAAAATCCCATCAGTTCCCAGGTCAGTGCTGCAGGAGAGGTCTTGGTGGCGAATCGCTTTGAAGCTTATCCAGGCCGATGGGATGGGCCATTGGTGGAAACAAGGGCGGTTATGCGGGGATCTACCCAGTAAACATGGGGTGAGAATCGGTGAGAACTAAGCAAATTTCATCCACCAAGTACGGTGATATATCATCATATACGGGGATGGGTTAAACAGATTGAAACTGGTTACAAATCCAAGAATGATCCAACATGATCCAAAGATGATCCAAGATGATGGTATGACTTGGTATGACTTTGGTATGACTTTGGTATGACTTGGTATGACCGTCAAACATTGAGATATGAGCCGCAAGATGTGGATGGCTCAGTATGGATCCTTCATCAAGGGATGGACATCCATATCACCGGGGATGGTCATCCCCCCATTAGGGATGAAAATAGCCATTGTAAGGAATCCCTCATATTTGTGGGTTGACCCTTACCCCTTATACAGAAGCAGTATGGAGAATGTGGCAGTTTCTCGCTGACCGAGGTCGTTTTACAACCCATGATGTGGCAAGGGGCTTGTCACATGAGATCTTGGGCATGAAAAACCTGACCTTGCCTGACGAAAAAACTTGAGATATCATAGACGCCTCTATTCACAATGGTAAGAATATGTTGGAAAAGTATGTCTTGTTTGGTTTTCCGGTCGGATGTCTTGAAACTTCGCATGTTATCACGTTCAGAAACCCATTTCCTTGCCATTTTTCCAACTGCGGCATTGCGACTCCATTGAGAAACAATTTCTTCTGGTGGAAGGAGGTGGATCTTTCTCCAGTTCTTGGAGCTGAGTCCATTTATAGTAACATTTCCAACATGTTCCAATGTTTGATTGGTTGCAGGTTACTGTACACCTGTGAATCACATCCCATTCTGTTTAGCAAACTCTCGGCATTTTGTTGGACTGTATATCTGGGGGCCTCATGATGCAGGCTACGCTGGCAGTCTCGTGGTGGAGGGCACTGTCAACGTTTCGGGCGCCACTTTTGGTATCCAGGCAGTGGGTCAATTCTTGCGCTCCAACCCCTCCTTGATTTTGGCGATATTTCTCTTTGAAATTCTTGGTTGACTCTGCATCTACCGAAAGGTTGTTTGTCCATCATCCTGGATGGCATCTGTTTCTGTTGAACATGGCTCCATTGACAGTGAGGATAGCGAGGAAGGCATCCTCGGAATCCTCGGAATCCTGAGTAAAGCATCCCAGCCTTGTTGATGCAACCTGTGGTTCATGTACTGCTATGACATCATCAGATTACCCTCTGGTAATTTGTTAGTTTGCTATTGAAAATGATCATTTATAGTTGATTTTCCCATTAAAAATGGTGATTTTCCATAGCTATGTGACATCCCAGCCACTGCAGACCGTGAGTTTCAGCCTCAATGGACTGGACGCGCAGTGCGGCAGTGCGAAAGCTTAGCCTCCGGAGACCTGGGCAAGGAGAAGACTGGACTACCCCAGTGATCAACACTTGGAGGTTTCCTAAAATGTGGGTACCCCAAGCTGCTCTGAAAGGTTTCCAACCCACTGTAGATTCACAATATCCAGTATTCAAGTTATCTTTGTGATCCAATTTTCGAGGGGTGATTTTTTTTCTGCGCCTTCTTTGACATGGTTTCGATGTTAGACAACCACTTAGCATCACTTAGCCAACTCCATGCCAATGACACAAGTTTGGTTGCCGATGGTCGCCGATGTGAAGACACACCAAAATGACAAGCATTGTGGTCTGACGACCAGCAATTGGCAGCGCTAGAAAACAACATCTTGTTTATTGTGGCCATGTCCACATCCCACGAGTTAATTGGCTCTATCCTATCCTTCTAACCTGCATTTTTGTCTGAACCTAATTTTTGCTGGGATTTTTTTTCGCGTTTTTTTTAAGCTCTACCTTTTTTTGCTTGTTAAAACTGTTTAGTTTTGGGTTTGTCGCAAAAAAATGAACCAGCGGTTTGCCATCATTTTTGCCACATCTGGCACATTTACCTTATATGTACAATGTATATTAATATATATATATACATAATATATATATATACATAATATATATATATATATACATACATACATATAAACACACATATATATATATATCTATCTATCTACAGATTGAGCGCGCAATGGCGGAAATTTTCACCCCAGCCACTCAGCCACTCAGCCACTCTGCCAGAGTGGCTGACGCAGCCACTCAGCCACTCAGCCACTCAGCACTCTGCCAGAGTGGCTGGAGCAGCCACTCAGCCACCCTGCCACTCTGCCAGAGCGGCTGAGTGGCTGAGTGGCTGCGGCAGAGTCATCAATCAATGAAATGGATAAAGTTTTTAAAAATTTCAATATCCAAGCAAGATTATATGATATTGACAGCAACTTGATTTACAAACAAAAACAAGTAAACTTCAACTGCCATAGCTACATAACTTCAACGGATTGACTAAGAACAGCCACATACACACTTTGAACCATAACCGGAAATCACTTAAAAGGAAAGATAGTGGTGATGAACTCTACAAGTTCAGGATTGGAAGCAACTATTACATCAACAACAGGGAAGAGCCTCTTAAATACAAAATGATTGATGGTATCGACGATGTGATGAGTTTAAAAGATGAAGAGGAATACAGATTAGTTTTAAAAGACAATGATTTGGACAAAGCAATTTATGAAATGAAAAGAGCAGGATATGAACCACAGGTTAGGCACACAGCAGGTAGGGCAGTAGAAATCAAATTTGATTTAACACACAAGATTTGCAAGAAACAGAAAACGGTAACCTGCAGCATTGTAACACACCGCCTTGACCATGATAGAATGAATGATGCTATCTTGGTGGAAACAGAGGACAACAAAGTCAGCGCGACGATGTTCAAGTTTCAAAAGTCCATTTTCAGTGAAAACCATAAGTCATACTGTAACGAAACTGACCTTGAAGCATTGGATGAATGCAGAACCATTGTTCCTAATGGAAGGTTGTTAAAGGCAAAGACTATGATAGCAAGGGCGATGAACTTGTCCTTGCCCCTGAAGATATGTGTAGCATCGACACACGGAAAGCCTACTCATACCAAGCAACAGAGATTACACACATTCCAGTGTTCAAAGAGTTTGATGTATGGAAACCATACACCAAAAAAGATGCTTTTAACAAATTCAATAACTACACCTTGTTCATAGTGGGGGCATGTCAGGGCAACATCTTTTTTAACAAAAATATAATCTGGTGTATGGGAAGCACCTGAAGGAATTGATTAAGAGAGGGGTGGCAATGAAGATATAATTTTACAAAATACCTTCATACATTCCAAGAGTGAAGTATTAAAAAGCGGTTGAATATTTATATAAAACAGTGATTAGTAATGACAAGCCTGAGAATAATAAATATTGAACACTATTGCTAATGCAGCATTTGGTTTGCTTGAGAAGTCTTACAATAGAAAAACGGTCAGTAGGAGTTTTGATAATCTTAAGGAGGCATTACAGCACCAGAAAAAATATGATGGGAGGATTTACGTAATGAACGAAGAAGAGTATGAGAAATATTATAGATGGAGAGAATTAGAAGAAGATTGGACTATCGAAGTTGATGAGAGGAACAAACCTTTTTTAGACATGTGAATGGCGGTGCGTGTTATACAGATTTTGATTATAAAGTCGAGGATCGCAAAACTTACTACTGTGAAAATGATTCATCCAACCAAAAGATAGAGAAGAAAAGCGAGACCGCCACATATTCTATAGTCAGTGTCAGTGACCAAAGGCAGTTGATGAACGGATTTAGGTATATCAAAGAGCTACTGTTACAAAAACATAACTTTCATATGTATGATGCATATGAGAAGTTGAAGGAGGCAAACATCAATGTTTACGCTGTAAAGACTGATGCCTTTCACATAGCAAAGACGGATTCAAAGAAAACAAAAAACATATTGAATTTTCATAACGACATAGGAGGCTGGAGAGTGGAAGATAAGAAAGTTGTTCCTGTTCCCGAAGTCTATGGAAGGAAACACAATGAGATTCCAAAAATACCGATTTACAAAAGCGAAAGGCTTGAGGTTCAAGATGAATGGGACACAGAAGCAATTTGTAAAACAGTAATAAGGAAGAAGAGAGTCATGATTAGGGCAAAATTTGCAGGAAGTGGTAAGAGTTTCATTGGAAATCATTTCAACGACCTAAGTTATAGTACATTTTTTGTTGTTCCTCAAAATATGCAAAAACAAGATGTTCCATGCGATGCAGTCACCCAAAATACATTCTTCAGTGTTCCTGTGTGTAAGGGGGAAAGCAGGCTACCAAAGTATGATTACAGCGGTTATGATGTAATTTTTTTGGATGAAATCTATAATGTCAAGTCCTTATATCTTGAATAAAATAAGAGTCTTCTGCAATGAAAACCCTCATTTGATTGTAATAAGTGCAGGTGATGTCAAACAACTTCCAAGCATAGAGCCCTTCACCAACAACCAACAGGGAGAGGAGTATGTTGACAGTTGCATTGACATAGTTTTCAAATACAATATCTTTTTGCAGATATGCAAAAGAGTAGGAGGTAAAGATACAGAAGAGGGAGAAAGGAATAGAACCAAGTTAAATGAAATCTATGATGATTTTTGGGAAAAAGATCTAGATTGGAAGTTGTGGATTGAAAAGCACTTTAGATATACAAAGAATGTAATGACAAGTAAGAATAACATAGCATACACTAACAAAAGGTGCCAAGCAGTAGCAAATGAGGTAAGGAAGAGATTAAACAAAAAAGATAAATATGAACTTGGGGAGATTTTAAGATGCAGGGTTTACAAAAAGGACGAAGAGGGTAAATTGAATGTAAACATAAGGTGGGAGGTTGTAGAAGTGGAGGGTAGACATGTAACCATTCAAGACATCAAAAGCAAGGAGACAAGAACCTTAGGTATGCTTACTGTGCAACTTGTCACAGCAGACAAGGAACAACAATAAAGGACAACATAGCAATTCACGAATGGAACAAAGACTATTTGGTGAGCAAAGAATGGCTTTGGTGTGCTGTAACCAGAGCAACAGATTTCAATAATGTATATTTTTTCAAACATGATAAAGCCGACGAAGAGATGTTTAAGAATTTGGTAGTTAACTATTTTAAAAACAAGGTTGAAGGCTACAAAGGACAAGACAGAAAAGGAGGAAGAGAAATAGTTGATGAATACATTGATGAACATTGGTGTTTGAAGGTGTTCAAGGGTTGTTGTGCAAACTGTGGAGTTCAATTTAATCTTGATACCAGAGGTGGCAAGTTGTCAAGTAACTTTACGGCACAGAGAGTTGATAATGGACTGTGCCATTCTATTGACAACTGCGAGGCTTAGTGTTGCCACTGCCATTCTTCTTCACATGAGATTGTTATTTTGAAAGTTTTATTTTTCAAAATAAGAAACTTAATAGACTATTAACATGAGTAAGCAAGAAATCATAGGAACCATATATTTCGATAAAGCAGGGTTTGGTTCCAAAAACACTACTTTGAAGGATGCAAGAGAGAAAGACAAATCTATTACTATGAAAGATGTTGAATAATTTTTAAAAAAGAGTGTAGAGATTAAAAAAAGAACCCGAGCGGCTACAATAGCTTTGTTGCTCCACATAACAATCATACGTACCAAGTTGATATATTCTTTCTTTCCAAAAAAGATTTAAAGGTAAAACACAGATACAGAGCTGGATTAGTCTGTACTGATTGTTTGAGTAAGTATGCTGTCGTAGTCCCAGTAAGAAGGAAAGAGACAGGCAGTGTTGTTCAAGGAACAATGAAAGCGATAGAGAAGATGGGCAAGAAGCCTGAAATCATATACACCGACGACGAGAAGGCTATAACACGTGGTGAATTCCAAGCGTATGTAGAAAGCGAAGGCATTGAATTGTATAGGACAAGAGGCCACCCTGCTTTTGCCGAGCGTTTTATAAACATTTTTAAAGACAAATTATGCAAAAGAGTTGAGAAGGATGAACAGAATAAAAAACACATATACAATGGATAGACTGTATAGATGAAATTATGTTAACTTACAAGAATAAAGATGTGCATTCCGCTACTGGTCAAACAAACACAGTATAAAGCCAGAGATAAAGACAATGAATTCAAGTCAAGATTAAACATTGCAATGACAGCAAAGAAACAGAGGCTCTATCCTGAACTATCTGTGGAGACAAAGTAAAAATCAAAAGGAAGAAAGCAACAACGGAGAAGGAGAGAACCTCACACTTTTTCAAAGGTGAGTATACAGCAGAGTCCATTGATGAGAAATTGAGTCAAACATATTATACATTAGAAGGATACAATAGACCACTATTAAGGCATGAATTGCTGAAAATATAAATTACCATTTATAGGACATCTACTTAAAGGCATATTATCTATCTATCTATCTATCTATATATATATATATTAGTGAAATGTCATTCAGTGATACAAGTAGTGAAAGTGAAATCAATCAAGAAGAATACATCAAACAAAAAATCTTAAGCCGTAAATGTAGTGAATATGCAACAATAAAATCAATTATCAAACATAATTTTACCGATGGTATTGGTAATAAAAATTGTGAATATGTAGCCTGTAAAAGTTGCTCAAATATAATGAGTCATTTTGATTCAATTGAATTTGATATTAACCCTTGTGACGATGATGATATTGATGAACAAATTCAAATATACGTTTATACTTTAGTTAATAAATTTCCAGATGATAAAATGAATTTAATATTAAATGAAAAAGAAATGAGACATTATCAAGATTATGGACAAGGATTGAAAATATGTTATAACAATTCATATTCTACTGTTGCATTCTGCATGCTAGAAATGAATATTAATGATGCTGATTGTATGGATGATAACTTCAATCATGAAACTTTTATAGATTGTTTAAGAAAAATATTGTTGTATATCAAAGACAATGAAAAGTTTATTGGAAATACTATTATTGACGAGAATATGTTTGACAAATTGTATGAAAGAATGCAACAAGGAATTTATATTTGAGCCCCATAAATTTTCATATCAAATAATATGAAATTTTGTGATATAAGGAAATACACTTAAAATTAAAAGGATAATACCTTACAATAGTATGGAGAGTAGAAAGTGCACATAGTGGAATGAATAGAATGTGTATTGAATGTTTGGACAAACAAAAGGAGAGTAAAAAAGTATATAATCAAAAGGAAGTATTCTGCGACATTTGCCAACGGAATCATTCCAACAAGGAAAAACTCAAAAAGGACGAAGGGAAAAAACAAAAAGAGATGGAGGAATACTAAAAGATGATGAAACCAGAATTGCAAAATTGAAACACATCTGGAAAACCATTACACCAAAAAACTTTAAAATACTTTAACCCCATAATTTTTCATATCATAATATATGATAAGAACATAGGAATGTTAGAGATGGATGATTTAGATTTATGATATTATTTTATGATATTATATTCTGATAAAATATTATGATGAAATCTTATGATGAAACTTTATGATTGAATTTATTTGATGATGCATGATGGTGAAATGATGTGGGATGATGATGTATGAAATTATGTGGTTTTATTGTGTGTTGATACTGTGATGAAAGGATATGAAATGTTGTGAACATGAACTGTGGTAAATGATGACATGATGGAGGTGGATGATATGAACTTAGGTGTGTTTGTGTCTAGCTATACGTATATATATATACATACATAATTTCTTTAATAACATACATATATGAAAACATTGAAACTAACCAAATGTCTCATTCCTTTCGCCATGATGATCCGCAGAGACCCACAGAGCGAACCCCTTTAACACAAATGACTAATGACTTCTTTCTCACAACTCTTTAACACAGATGTTTGCCTGTTTGCCTCAGATTCCATTCAACCCATAAAAATATATGCCCCAGTGCCTGCATGGATAAAGGAAGGAACCCTAAATTAGCATAAAACCTCACTTGAGATACGACTCAGACCTAAGAAAAATTAGGTCAGGGTAATACTGCTTACACTCCACTGGATTAGCTGCACTAGCTATTCATCCGCTGAGACATTCTGCCAGAGTGGCTGCCACTCAGCCACTCAGCCGCTCTGCCAGAGTGGCTGGGGCAGACACTCAGCCACTCAGCCGCTCTGGTAAGAGCGACTGGACCAGCCACTCAGCCACTCAGCCACTCAGCCACTCAGCCACTCTGAGTGACTGAGTGGCTGCTCCAGCCACTCTGCCGCGGCCACTCAGCCACTCAGCCGCTCTGCCAGAGTCACCTAAAACAGATCATTTTAGTATTGAAACCCGTGGTAACTCGGGGATCTCCATTTTAAGAACCCCTTGCCCTTGCACGTTTCCATTTTCCACCACCTTCATGCTGGGGCCCCAAGGGTGCAACTGGAGGATCCCAGGAAAAAGATGAAAAAAAATCGATGAATCAACTGAGACAAAACATAGAGTCTGATTCTATTTTCAGTTGGTGTATAGAACGAATCTCAATCTTGGGGACATCACCTTGATCATCCTATAGGCTGCGCTGGCGGCTCAGGTGCCAACCATTCCCAGCCCAATGCTTGCGGCATCCATGTGCATAGAGGTAGCAGTTGCGACGATGCGCAAGGCGCGAAACCTAATCACTGATGGAGAGTTTCACACCAGCTGAATGGCTGAGATCACCTCCGACCCCTGGAAGGTTTCCCCTTATTTTTGGGTGGATCGAGAATGGGATTCTACTTGTCAATTTCCCATGAACCCTCAATTTTCATCAATTTTCCAGTTCTCTGACGTTAGCGAAATAATGTCGTTGACAATCACTGCACTTCTTTCCACGCATGTCTTGTTCCGATGCATCTTAATAGTGTCCGGTGTCCCTGTCAACATAGATGGCAATCCCATGCAATCCCAACATCACCCTTTGCTATCCATGATTGCATCAGCTCCCAGGCGGCCTCCACGACATACCCATGGATTGTCAGCCATATTTGGATGTGGTTCGTATATTGAGCCCTAGTTTTGGCCACCAAGATCTGCTGTAAAGACCGGTCTACTAACGAGGTTTGGACAAAAATCAAGATTTCCCTGCAACAAAATTCAATAAAATACTTGAAACATTTTGATGTCAGGTTATTTTGGCAGGAAAACCACTTGAGATGATCATCTGGTAATCAAAGCTGGCGATAGAAATGCACCAAAATTCATCAAAAATCCATGATTTTACCGTTGACCATCAACACCCACAGAAATCGTTCGGGGATTTCTCAGCAATTTTTTCATCACCAAAAAACCCAACTGCCATAGCCAAAATCCCATGGAAATCCCCATATGGCCCCGGGGCCCCGGGCTTTTCCGCCAGGTCTTCCAGGTAGGCGATCCCAGCCGTTCCCAGGTCATTTCTGGGACAATGCGACCGTCTCCGACCCCTGGAGCCTGGGCCCCACCTACAGCGGGCCGGAGGTGAAGCGTGCCTTGGTCCCGCGATGGTTTCGACGGGAGGTGACATCCCTTGACGCCTTGGAAATTGCTGGGGAAATCATGGATTTTACGTTTTTTTTTCATGGATTTTCACGGATGTTTCATGCTTGTTTTTTTTCTTTAAGTGGATTTTCCATATATCTATGTCCGTTTACTGGAGGGTAGATTCCTCTAATATGGAGGGGTTGATATTTCAAGACCTTTGGTATCAATAGTACATAAGATAATCTATAAGATAGTTCCTAGTAGAATATGTTTTTGCACCATACCATCCAAGAATGGACTCGAGATAGGGGTCATTGGGTTGTAGGTCTGCATATGGACTCATACTAACGTACATGTGTGATTATATATGTGATTATATGTGTCTATACGTGTTTGCACCCAGCAAAACCCAGGTAGCGACCGTTTATATAGACTAGAGGGAATCAAAGGTGATGGAGACAGGTTACTACTATTTGGAGGTAGGGACGTTGAGCACGCGGGGGTTGGTACCGGGAAAATCAGCCTATGAATGTAGCTTATTTCAGCTTTGCGAGATTTGTAATGACATACCCAAATTTGCACAGATATTTTGGTATGGGTCAAAACAATGCTAAGATTCGTTGTCAGAAAATGGGATGCTACACAATATCAAACATGGACCGGCCCATTTTTGGTCCAAAATGGGTCTGCAGTTTCGACCGAAGCTCATGGTTAGAGTTCCTTTTTTCTTAGTTACCCTCCGGTAATTTGTTACATAGCTATTGAAAATGACCATTTATAGTGGATTTTCCCATTAAAAATGGTGGATTTTCCATAGTTATGTTAGTTTACCAGAGGGTAAATCCAAGTAAAATCATGGTTCCTGTTCTTGTTGATTAAAATCCAACGTTCCACGATTCATCTTCAGTTTCGATGGCCGCTAAGCTTTCACAGTCAAATCCCCGTTTTGTGTTTTTCCGATTTTTTTGCTCAAATCATTGCCCATTTTCCACATTAGCAGTCACTCAGTGTTCGAATTTATTTTTTCATGATTAGATTCCAAATTCAAAGATTTTTTCACACACGACATATCACGACATAGGATTTGCGATTGTCAAGGATAGCTAACTTATATATGGTTATACATGGTTATAGAAATTCTAGTTCCAAGATGTTCAAAGCAAAACCCCCAGTCTTGACGTGGCTTTGTTTCACAATAGGGCACCCCTAAATCCATTGGTTAATCATCAGTTTACCAACTAAAATGGTCAATTAGGGTATACAGCATATTCAGACAAACCCAAATCATCAAAATCTTGCTTATATACCTACATATATACCTACATATATATATATATATGCATACCTATATATACATATATATATATATATACACATAGTTTCCGGAGATACATATTTCCATCGTATCCCCATTACCAGGTTGGTTTCAGCCGTCTCTGATAGCGTCCGAGGCTTGCCGTGGCCACGGGGCTGGACCTGAAAGACCTGGGGGGCAAGGCGCGGCGCTGGAGCTGTGTGGTTTCACAGTTTGCGATGGAACATCTTGGCTTTTTATCGCCAAGTAAAGCATTGAACTAAATGGGCCATAAATGGGCCACATTTTTTTATAGCTATGTTAGTCAGATCTAGTTTGGTGGTTCTTGAAAATGCTACCAGCAAAAGTACTGATACAACCAATGATACTGATGGGAAGATAGACGGACAATAGGGGATATGACATTAATCATAAGAGTGGGGAACCCCTAAAAAGGTGTTTTTCTTTTGACAGAAAATCGTGAGAATGGGGGGATTGAACCAAGCAACAAATGAGAAGAACCGAGATACGACCGACAATTTTTTGTGGGGTATCTTAAGCACACGAACGAGGGAAACCATCATTCATAAAGAAACCTAGTGCCGGTGATGGATACACCAACAAGATGTAGGAATATTCACCAAGATATCGTCAAGATAAGGCGACAGAAAGTGGAGATATTCACCTATAGTGGGAATATCCCATACCCTCTGGCAAACTAACATAACATAACTATGGAAAATCACCATTTTATTGGGTAAATCACTCATAAATGGGCAATGTTCAATAGCTATGTTAAATTACCGGAGAGTACCTTATAGTATTGGACTTATATGATTCGCATCGAGCCACAGATTGGAAATGTTTAAAATTATTTTTTTTTCATTTTTTTTTCATTTGGGTTTTCATTTGTAACTTCATTTTCATTTTCATTTTCATTATCATTATCATTATCATTTTTTTTCATTTTTTTTTCATTTTTTTTTCTTCAAACTTCATTTTTTTTCATTTCAAACTTCATTTTTTTCATTTCAAACTTCATTTTTTTCATTTCAAACTTCATATTTTTTGTTTTAGTGTCAGCTATTTTGCAGCTACTTTAGATGATGTTGCAGCTATTTTAGGTGATTTTAGTATATATGTTGGATAAGTTTAGTTTATACTATATATATACATATATATAAGTTGCACTTTTCAATAAAAATCACTGTATGTAATAAATTGCACTTTTCAAGTGTTCCAGGGGCGGCTTTGGTTGTAATTGTAATTATAATTGTAATGATGTAATGAGCAATAAGTTTTTAACTTGGATTTTGGCACTACCATTGTGCTGGCTTCACTGAATGGTGATCTTTTATTTGGTTATTTGGCAATTTTTGAATAATGAAATGTGTTTAAGTTAAGTTTTTAATCAAATATGTGTTATTGGTCCATTGGTTTTACAAAAATAGATTCATAGATTAACCAAGTCAGTAGAGTCTTAGAGAGTCTTACTTAGATATTGGAAACATCTACTGTATCTATAAATAACCATGTGCATGTGCTGCTTAAGAATACTGAACTCAACTGAACTTTTCTTTTGGAGTAAATTAGTCAGTCACAGTTACTGTACCTCATTAGCCATTAGTGAAGTTGAGTCAAGTTAGCTGCAACTGTGGTTACTACTGTAGTTTCTTTCTTTGGGCTTTGTTGCAGTCTGAATACACTTTGGTTGTATTCAGATTTGGTTTGACGTTTGAACTTCAAACTTTGAATTTGAACATGTAACATGTACCAGTAGTTTAGTTTAAGTTTACCTTCAAAAGCAAAATCAAATGTTGAAACTGCAGTAAACTATCACTACGCTACACTCTACTCTACTCTACTCTACTCTCCTCTACTCTACTCTACTCTACTCTACTCTACTCTACTCTACTCTACTTACTTGCATTGAACCTGCAACCAGTCACTAGTCACTACAACAGTTGCAACACTGACATAGTCTAAATCTAGGTTCTAGTAGTCACTAGCCACTAGACTTTGCAGGAGTTTAGAAAATAAGTTTAGTCAAGTCAGTTGTTACCACCATCATGATTACCTCAAAAAAAAATGAATCAGGATCATATGCCCCAGTTCAGCAAGCCAGCAAGTTTGTTTTGCTTATGATATGTTTAAGGCTTAAGATAAGTTTGGTTGCCAAATTCACTTCAATTATGAGAGACTGGTGGCTACTAACTAAAAAACACTAAAACTATAAAACTAACTAACTAAGGCGCTTATTTTCTTTCACAGAGAACTTACACTAACAATGGCACAACAGTATCTCTGGATTGGGCTTGTGGCTCGTTTATTTTTTGTTTACATATATATTTATTTATATACATTGCACATTGTACATGTATCTGGGTAAATTATACCGACCTCACTGTGACCTCACTATAATCATATTTAGTAAGGGGAATCATCCCAAAATGGCCTTAATTCAGGGTAGTGAAGTTAAATATGTTGATCTAATTTACCCAGATGTATACATATTATGTCAATGTATGTGATTATGTAACCTAGTGTGTCTGATGGTGTGACAGTGCGACATCGAAACAACCCACCACAGCAGCATGAACCGCCTTGAATCCATGAATCTCAAATCAACTTCAGTACAGTTGCAGCAGTTGTTGCTAATTCCGCATCCCTCATGGCTCCAGTGACCGATGAATCTGAGCTAGCCAAGCTGTTTGCCCAGTGCTTCTTTTTTGTCCTGTCCTGCTGTCTATGACAGTCTGTGTCACTCCACTTGCATTGCACTGCACTCATTGCATTGCATGTTGCTGCAAGAGTCGCGAACCCACTCACAAAGGAGTCAGTGGCCATCCATTCGATGATACAACAGCAGCAAGAACACATCACTCAAAACTATGTCACACAAGAGTAGCGCTCTTATTAGAAATAAAGTCGGGTCAAGTCAAGTCAGTAACAGTCAGTACAGTAAGTAAGTACATTACAGATTCCTATGTAGCTGTTGCTTGTTGCTGATCAACTGCTAAACTTGGAACTGGAAGCCGATGTGCCACTGTTCGTGGAAGTGTGGCATCCTTTGGATACCAGTGACCAGTCCTTTCGTCACAAAAGACAGGGAGTCAGGTAAGGCTGATGTTGTAGCAGCCCTGGTGTCCAGAGTCAGGTAAATCTTAAATTGCAGAAAAGAGGCTCTTACTGTCCAGGGAAAAGAACCAACGGCAAAAAGTGAGACTTCCGGATTTCCTAGGGTCACTACTTTAGCAATTCATGCATCGCTGGTGCTGATGTCTCAACATCATCCATGGGTATGTTTCTCAGCATTCAGCAGCGGCTCAAAGATGTCACTTGCACGCAACCCCAACTGATTGCCACTGCCATCTCCAGCAAAGAGATCCATCTGCTGCTTGATCACACCCCTGGCTTCAATCACACCAGTTTCATCACCAAGTTTGTAGCAGCTGCGGTAGTTCACAATGGATTTAGTGAGCAGAAGTTCCACCACATAGATCTTCGCAATCTTGGCCTTTTCAAGAGCCACTTCCACAGCCTTGCTGAGTTTGCCAAACAATTCGCTCGCAACGGGACCAACCGCCTCAGCGTAGTCAATGATGAACTGGTCGGTTGACACTTTGTCCTGCAATGTGTCACACAGTCACACAGTGAGCTGAAAAATGTTGAGTCAAGTAGAGTCAAGTGAGTCGAGTAGCTCAACTTTCTTGCAGTCTAAAATTATGCACATGCAAAGATGATGAACCTGAAACTGAAACTTTTAAAGGTGCATAGATGCACTGCACTGCAAGGAAGAAAACAAGCAGCACACACAGCCGATGGAAACTTTTACCCTTGAAGTGATCAGACACAAAGAAGTTGCCCTTACAATAGAATCGAAGGCTTACAATATATTCAATATATAATACTAATACAATATATAACCACGACTAACTACTAACATCATCTAATCTAATCCAATCTAATCATAATTGACGGAAGTTTAGAAGCCTAACTTCCGACTATACTGAGAGTTGCAGGCAGATGATGTGTGCATCGCAGATGTGAGAAAGTAGTAACTAGAGTCTAGAGATGTCACAGAACAGATGTGAGACATGCATCAAGCAGTGCCCCACCTCCCAGGTGAGGGTTGTTAGATTCTATCACAGCTGTTCCGGCTCCTCCTCCTTCCCCTCCTCCTCCACCTCCTCCTCGTCCTCCTCCTTCCACCACCTCTGCCTCCACTTCCATGTCCACTTCCGCCTTGCCAACTCTTCGCTCTTCGCCAACTTCCGCGCGCAGTGGGCACTGCTGGACCTCAACTGCCGGCTTCCGATCTGAGTGGGCACAGCTGGACCTCAACCACAAGGTTCTGAGCGCAGTGGGCACCGCTGGACCTCAACCAGGGACCATTCCAAGCCCAGTGGGCACCGCTGGGCCTCAACCTGGGACCTTCCGAGCTCAGTGGGCACCGCTGGACCTCAGCGGCCAGATAGAATGCCAGAAGATATGCCAGAAAGACTGCCAGAATATATGCCAGATAGAGTGCCAGAATGTTTGCCACATAGAATGCCACAGAGAATGCCAAAATATATGCGGGAAAGAATGCCACATAGAATGCCAGAATATTTGCCAGATAGAACGCCAAAATATATACCAGATAAAATGCTGGAAGATATGCCATATAGAATATCAGAATAGATGTCAGGTAGAATGTTAGGTAAAATGTCAGAATATATGACTTGAAATGCCAGGGTGGGGATCACTCGAAGTAAAGTAATTTTGGTGGGTAGAATGTGTGCGAAATGCTGTGTTTTCCATAGTTTTGTTAAAATATATCAATATATCTATAGATCTTCTTATCTTGTCTTGTCTTGTCTTGGCTTGTCTTGTCTTGTCTTGTCTTGTCTTGTCTGGTCTAACTTTAGTCATTTCATTTATATATATATATATCGGTTTATCAAAATTTGTCATCAGATCATCAGCACAGTATTACAGTGAAATGAATGTTGACTTGACATCTGACATACAGCATGGCTGTCATGGCTCCTTCTCAATGGATGAGCTGAACTCTTTCAACTCTTTGATGGGTAGCTTTGCCAAGACTGAACCCTTGGCTGCTTGCAGAATCTCCTCCGGTGAGCAGGATTCTGTGAGCTCACTCTTCCATGATGTGCCAGGAGCACTGAAAAGAGTGAAGTAAT